CAGTTCAAAAAACTCGTAGATCGTGTTTTATCAGGTATAAAAGCACTCGGCTACGCCTCGTGCTTTTATACCTGATAAAACACTCCTACTCGTTTATTAAACAGTACATAACGATTGTAAGATAAAATAAAACTCACCATCTGTAATCGCGGAGTGAATATTCTGTGAATTTTTTTCCTATAGTTTGTGTTTTTGATTCATCCTTTACTGACAGTGAGTTGCTATATCATTTCTCTAATCTCAGAGTTGATAGTTTAGGAGATTTTCCTAGTACATTTAGTATTTTCTTTCTTCTTAAATTTAGATCATTTTATTTTTTTGCGAGATGATATTCTAATTGTGAAGTAAAAGAATAAATTCAGTATTTCTATAATTGCGGAGATGGTAATCAAGCAGATTTTCGACAAAAAAATCTAAAGTGAATATTTCCTTTTTTAAAAAGAAATTATAATTTCATATTTTTTGTTCGAGTTAATTCCTTTGAAGGTTTCTAGTTTACCTACTTGATAATAAACATATTCTTCTCCCAGCTGGATATCTTTGCAATAGAATAATGAAATATCTGAATTTGTTCTGGCGTTATTAGAATTGTATTATGTCTTGAAAGAGCAACAAGCTTGACGAACGTCTGAATTGCCGCTAATTCTTAATAGCTCTGCAGGCTCATCAAATTTAAATTCAAAATTTCTTTTTGAAAGCGAATAAGGAAATAATAGTTCTGTTGATAGATTTTGTATTTCSGATTCTATGTTTTTTAAGTTAATTTAAACGCTCAAACTAAGAATTATTTTTCGTCTTTATAGTTTTTAAAATTTAGAAGTAGGCTTTTGTAGCTTTGAAATTTAAAAGGATATGAAAGCGTTTTTAAAGACAAAAGGTTCTGAACTACAATTGAATGAATAGTCTATATATTGAGCATTTATTCAGGTGTGAGAGATGTGAAGAGATAATTTTTTCTTGCTAGCCGGGCTTCCATAAAAATATCCGAAAAAAAACCCTTTTCAGTTAGATTTAATCATGACAGGTTTTCTAGAAGGAAAGGATTTTTACCTTGTTATTTTTGTCATTGTTTATTACTGTGTTTTACATCTTTGTCAAATTATGACGTGAGTGAAATGACATATACTCTTGTCTAGTTTTCACCTGCCTGTATTGCGCATGCGCCGGTTGGCGCTCTTCCCCTCGACTGACGTCATCGTACTGTCACTCTACCGTTTCTGAAACGTTCTCTTAACAAAAGCTTTGCCATCGTGAAAATCGAATAAAGGAAAGCTTAGACATGTCATGGTTTATGAATCACGGATATTGGTGTTTGTCTTCAGAGAATTCCAATTTGTTGCCCGCTTTTGACGATCGTCTTCGTCTCAAACCCTCGGATATATCCACAAATGTGTTCAAAAGGGTTGACGTCAGTGAAATGATCATTTTAAGCCCGAAAAAAAACGTCCCTCCACGCATCCATATGCTAATGCACTCATGCTGTCGAGCGGCGACAGCTGGTCGTAACCTACGCATGCGCAGTACTTTCTAATTATCGTAGTATGCAAAGATACAGGCCATATGATATGAGGAATATTTTGCAAAGCAAGATTGAATCCCCACACGAGAAAATTCATTGTGAAACTAATTGAAGAATTGACATTTCGAGGTTGGTGGACTAAGGTGGATTCCATAATAACATATCTTTATTCCTAAAACAGTAATTCATTTTTTTTCTTTGTCAATAATATGTCCTGTTTCGTATTTAAATTTTTTTATTTTGTTTCGTAGCTACGATTTGACAGATACGGCAAGACCATTTTTACATGTGTATAAATGTCCATTACGTACATTCATCAGTCTCGTTGTAATCGCGGATCTATCAAACTCAATTTCGGTCGATCAAAGCTGTTCTCGTAACTTCTCTGTCTACAACAAGTGAAGACGTTATAGGAAGCATTACTCTCATCCTACCTAAATTTTCCACGGAAAGCGAATTTCAACGAGCCATATTTATGTTTTGAAAACATGTGAGTCTTCATTGTGGGGGAACTGGCGCTCGATGAATAATACRCACCAGTTTTTCCTTGGAAATACAGCCCTGTGTAGTACAAGATTTTGATTACTACACAAATAATAGAATGGAATATAGTCATTCATTCGATGGGGAACAAACAAATACAAATGAAAAAGTTGTTATTAATGTTGGAGGTCAACGACACGAGACTTATATTAATACTCTAAAAAGCATCCCCGATACACGACTTTATTGGATAACTGAAAATCCAACTCAACTGGCGGAGTATGACCCAAACACATCTGAATATTTCTTTGATCGTCATCCCGGAGTTTTCTCTCATGTTTTGAATTTTTATCGAACTGGGAAGCTACACTGTCCGAATGATGTTTGCGGACCCCTGTTTGAGGAGGAGCTCATGTTCTGGGGTATAGATGAACTGCAGGTGGAGCCGTGTTGTTGGTTAAATTTTAAGAAACACAGAGAAGCACAAGCACAATTAGACCCTTTTGAAGGGGGGAGTTCTGATGGAGAAAGCGTTGAAGATATGGATATGACAGTTTACGGGCTTGTAGCCGATTCAATACGGAGGAGAAATAGAACATGGTGGAAGAGGTACCAGCCTAAAGTTTGGACTCTGTTCGAGGAACCTTACTCGTCGATACCCGCACAGGTAAGCTTGTTTACTAATTATTTTTCCCGTTTAATTTACTGAGGGTAACGCGTACCTGTTAAATAACTCTCCCCAAGTCAATAGGACTGCATTATTCAATAAAAAAATCGTTGCATAACCAGACGACAACAACAAAAACAGCACCTTTTTTTAAACCCTAAAAAATAGAGAAAATTTCCGTCATGTGATTTTAGTGTAGCGAGCGTTCTCTTTCGCACAGTTGTAGCCGAGAAAGAAGGTCTTTGAGAACCGTGTTTATAGTTTCGCCTAGTGACTAGTGTTACTATGTGTAGTAGATTATATGAATTGAAAATCCTTAGTCTATTGATAGACGGTTTGAATTGTGAGCTGTTAAAGCGTGGGCATGGAAGGTGTCGTAATTTTTTGAGTTGTGTAATGCGAGCGATTTCCTATCAACAACGGTAACATCTTTATAGCGAGTGTCTTTTTTTCCATCTACAACTCGTGTCTTTATAACTTGAGACGAAATTTTAACTGGCTTATTTATCTGTTATTTTGTTTGTTAGCGAAAAATATTTGCGGAGTTATATTTGGGATATTTCGAGGATTTCCACAGCTTACGTGCTCAAAATCTCACTTCAATTTGGTTGTCTAAGATCTTTGTGGTTTTGCATTGTACAAATCTCAGTCTGTCTGAGTAAGGACGTCGAATTTATGGATTGTTTGTGATTTTACTTAAAGCTTCAAAAACATCGTTTAGTAAAAGCAAATTCGTTTAAAAAAAATTGGCATCAGGTCAAGCTCATGCGAATCGAATTTGCGAAAAACAACTGTGTTTTTTTCTTTTTCTTTTCAATATATTATACATTAAAAAAATACATTTTGATCATTATTATTAATGCGTTTAGGATTTGAAAGCATGATGAAAGCAAACCCGCCATTTTGACTAACGAATCACTTATTCTGAAATAATCGAGGCTTAAGACTTTTGCCTCATTAATCGGCTGACAGCGCTTCGTATTACCCGGAAAGTCACAAACAAAAGCTTCTTCCTTTTAAGCGTTTCATGGATTAAAGATGTAAACATAAAAATTGGAGAGTTCTTCTCAAGATATTAGGACTGCAATATCGATGTATGCGTTTGTTAAAACCCAAAACGTTTAATCCAGCATTAATTGATAGCTAATGCCCTTGAGGGTACTCTGAGCATGCGCAGAACATTGCCACCCGCGCGCGTCTATCAATTTTATTGGCGGGAAAAACATATCTCTCGTTTTATTCAAGCTTTTCTAATTTTTTTAATCCGGTAATTCTTTTGGGGGGGATACAATTCCATGATGATTYTTTTACGGTTGGTAATGTTGTTATTTAAACCTCTTGGAAAGCTGTATGTTGCTGTTTTTTCAAAACACTAAATTATTAATGGAAAACAGGTTCTTTATCCAGTTTAAATCGGTTTTTTTCAAGACTCGTAATCATCGCAGTATGAATATATTTTTAAGTCAATCAGTGTAATAGCCGTTGAAAGCTTTTGACAATCTATATTATAAATTTATTTTCTATATTCATACTTACTATATCATTCTACCTTAATGGACTAAAAACTTTGTAAAATATCTTAAGTTTGTTGACACCAATCGCAAAATATTTCCTTTTTGTGCAACCTTATATTTTTCAAATTCAAAAACTACACGAGATATAAAATGAATATGCTTATAGTTTAGCTTGATATTTCTTTGAAAATTATTCATTTTATGCATGGCTGTTTTCGTTTACTCATCTTCTTAAAACAATAACAGGCATCCCAGATCTCCTATATATCCTATATTTCCTATAATTTGTATGGAATCCTATAAAGAGCCTATATTTAAAGAAAACCTCCTTTATTTCCTATAAATAGGACGACTGCTGATTGATACATTTATATGCTACACTGTTTAGCACATTTGGCGAAGGAAATAAAAT